ATGGTCACATCTCAATCCCTTCTCTTTAATTTCTCACACTTTTCAGAATTTTGGCAACATATGCACATGTGCTGAGCATGTTTTTTAGGCCACCAGGTCCAGGACTCAAATGTAGGATCAAGCCACCTTCACCACCATGCCACAAGTTGGCCTCGTCTTATGTATTATTGTAAGTGACTACACTTTAACTGTGATACAGCAGCATTCAACTCCTCCATAATCAGGAGAAATCAGAAGGCCAAAAAACGAAGTAACCTTTCCAAGATCACACAGTAAGTAAGTGGCAGAGCAGGAATTCAAGTCTAGGTGTATTTTGTATCTAGCTAATTTCACTTCTTTATTTCCATCAATAGAATTTGTTGATTACCAGCTATGTGTCTAATACCATGCTAGACTGTGAGAACTCGAAGATGAACAAGAAGTTATCATCTTTGTCCTGAAGGATATTCCAGTCTATTCAAGAAAGGAGGGAGCTGGCCAGTGGCCTGGTGGTTAAGGGAGCCAGATCCCACATGGATGACTGCACAGTTTAAGTCCTGACCCTGGTAGCTTGAAAAATATGCCAGGTACCTGTGCATGTGTGCCCCAAATCTCCACAGGAGGATAAACGGAGAAGAGATTGCAGCATGACCACATAAAACTGGGGTGGGGAGGTGCTTTTTCCCTTTCTGTCTGTCTGTTTCTCTCTGGTGAATGCATGCACCCTCTGGCAAATTGCAAAGAAAAAAGACATGGGGATACATAAACAAATGCAGTAAAGTGGTACGTGGCTCTTTGTGTGTATGTTTGTTCACTTTTATATTTCCTATCATGGCTTGAAATAAATGGGCTGAGGAAATATTCTGGCAAAATACTAAGCCTATGGAAATCAATAGTTGGGAAGGGAAGAGAAGGGAGACAATCTGCTTTAGGGGAGACCTAGCCCCTGAAAACTCCTGTTTATCTTTGTCCCTGCTCTTCAAACTTCATAGGGTCAGTGAGACCTGAAAATGTCTATGCCAAGGGAAGGATAAAAGTTGGTTACTAAATGCTACATTAAGTTAAATGAGTAGTCCCTGCTGAAGGTAACAATTAATAGACATGTCATAGCATCTCACCTATCGAAGAAAATATTTTTCTTCCATCCTGTTTTAATATTATATCCCATTTCTATAGAATGGCATTTGACTAACTTCTGTGCACCCATAAACCCACATAGTAGGTACTGTAAAAATACTTGCTAATCATCACTATCGGGTGTGCCAGGGCTCAGCAATCAATGTGTTTAGTGACCGTTATCCTCAGGAGCAGAAAAGCCCCAATGTTAGACTTGGTCCCAAGAAACATAGCTGGTCAAATCATCCCTTTAAGGATAGTAAGATTATACACTTACCTTATTCTGCACATATATAACTCCCATTTTACAACATTCCTCTCTTGTAAGACTATCACAGCATGAGGGCATACAGAATTTATTGAAAGAATGCATGAGTGAATGGCTATTTTATCTTTAATATATTTTCAGGTGTACCTTATAATTACCATTGATCTGTACTACCCTTGTCAGTAACTTCACATTCATATTTTGTATAAACTTCCTAGCCGCCCTAGGAAACAGGTACTGGTGTTACCCCATTTTACACATGAGGCTTTCGAGGTTCTAATGGATCAAGTGATCTGTCGAATATCACACAGCTAGTAAGTAGCTGAGCAGAACTTTAAACCCAGGACTGCCCTTCTCCAAAGCCCCCATAGCCGATAGTATACTGAGAATCAAAAGGCACACATTTCCTCCCACTGTGTTCATTTCTATGAAGTAACCTGCACTATTTATATAGAAAGAAAAGCTAGAGATGAAAATGAAAAATTAGGACATCTCAGAGTCAGCAGGTGGCATAATGGTTAAAGTGCTGGACTTCCCATGTGACTGACTACGGTTTAAGTCCCAGACCTGTTAGCTTGAAACTCACGACAGGTGCATGTGGGTGCATGTCCCAAATCCTGAGAGGAGAATGAAGGAGAAGGGACCATGGTGTGCCCCCCCCAGGAGGTGATTTCTTGCTTGTTGTCTCTCTGTCTCTCTCCGTCTCTCTGAAGAGTGCACATGCCCCACAGCAAAACAAAAACAAAAATGACAACTCATCAATCATCAATCAATCAGAACTTCTACTATATAAAATCCAATCAAAAGACATTGTTAACAGAGATATTTTAAATTTTAAAAATAATCTCTAAACTCTGTCTTGTTAGTGCACTATAAGTCATATCTTTTCAACTGCAAGATGCAAAGATAAGTGCTCCCTTATAATTTATTAATGTGTGGTGTAAGTGAAGACATGACCCAGAACCAAGTCAACCCTTCAGCTTCACTTTTCCTCTTAAGGAACCAGAATCAGTATATGCAATCTGGCTAATGAACTACTCTTAACATTTCATTTTACATGACTTTAAACATCAATTTGAGAGAACTTAAACAAGAAAACCATGTGTAAATGGGTCGTCCTATTAGAAAAAAAATGGCCCATATTTCTAAAAGCAGAGTCTTTTTCTCCCCCTCCACCTCTCTCATTTGTTCTCTCTCTCTCTTTAATGAGATGTTTTGACTTGAGAATATGTCTTGTGAATTAGCAGTGAATTAGAAAAGAAAATATCACAAACAAAAATTTAGTTAAAGATAACACCACAAAGCTCCACATTTTGCTTTTTCATTCCATGCGGTTTCTACTGAAAATTGTCACCCCACACTTGGATGGTTATACTCTCTTTTTAAATATCTAATTTCACCTGAGCCACCTTAGAATTCTAGAGAGCATTGATTTTGATTATTATCTTTTTTATTAGGTAATTTTATTTATTATTATTTTTTTAAAGATGTGCTGTGTGCTCACCAGAGAGTGAGGCAGAGATAGAGAGAAAAAGAGAGAAAATGAGAAAGCAAGCTGCCACGTCCAGGACTCAAACTGCAGTCAGCCATGTGGGAGTCCAGCACCTCAACCACCATCTGATGTCCTTAAAAGACCAAGGACACATCTACAATTGTGTTACATACAAGAGGAGCAAGGTGCGTCAACCTTTGTCATAGCTCCATGGTGCTATGAGCAGGCCTATTTTCAATTTCAAATGTTAAGAGCAGGCCTATTTTCAATTTTGCCTTTGATGCTATAAAGTAAAATAGTTACACTTTACAAAATGCTTGCTAAATAGTCACACCATGGCAAGTACTTTGCATGTATGACCACTTTAACACTTTTTAAACCTCACTATTCCTCCGTTTTCTTACCTGTTAAGTGAGAGTAATAATAGCACCTACCTCATAGAGTAGTTTTAACTTATTGAAGACCGTATGGCTAAGAATTAAAACAGCTGGGATTTCATTGAAAGTATGTCCGGCTCTACAAGCCCAAGCTCCTCACCACTGTATTACAGTAGTGTCCACGTGGAAACTGCATGCACTCCCAAATCTCAAGGTCTGTCCTCATGACCCTAATAGACTACTTCATGAAAGAGACAAAGCTATTTCCTGGTAACCCTGTTAATACTACCTGCCCAGATACCTGTTTAAAAGTAATATGGGCCATTCTTAGTTAAGACACTTGTGCTTCATGAATTGGTTTTTATGGAATCAATTTGAACCTGCAGTTAGCACTGTGTAGCCTGCTGAGTGGTTATTAAACTGTATCAATGTTCACTTGGCATGACTATCAGAAGAGACTAACTAGCCTCACACATAGCTGAGCTTCACCAAGATGCCCCAAAATACTCCTTTATTGACTGCCATCTAGAACCCCAATATTTCTCCAGCATCTTCCTTTCTTGGTTCTTCCAATGGATCCTTTCATCTTGTAACACACGAGTAGTTTCAGAATGTTGAATCTGTGAAGCTAGGTTTAAGAGCAAACTCTACCGCTGATACTGTGTGACTTGGGTCTTTCGTACGTAAAATGGGAAAAGTATTTGCATTGTTCCTCTCCCTTCACTCTCACTTGCTTGTTTCAAAAATCGAGGTGGAAAAGCGTTCTACAAAGAAGAGATGGATTGGCATTTTTCTTAAAGGCAGAAAGTTTGGGATTAAACAGAGCCTGAGTTTGACACTTACTGGCTGCAGGATTTTGGACATGTTTTTTTAACCAGAGTAAGATTATTGTGAAGATTAAATGAGATATCATCACCCATCTGTAACCCAGCAAGTTCCAGCTAATAAGTTTTCTTGAATACTATTTGGTTATATATGGTCTTAGTGTAAGAGAATAAAGGGGAAGGAAATAAAGGAGTGAATAAAGATGTGAAGAGAAGCTGCATAGGAGGATTACATGAGTTAATGATGAAGTGAATAATAATTGCATGCTCTAAATCTTTCCACCAGAATCTTAGATCATCAGCACAAACTGCAATGGTACAATGAGACCACTTTTATTAAACCTTCTTTTCTGTGAAGAGAAGAATCTTAATTTGCAGATTTCATATCTAGATTTTTATCTTTTGCCCCTCTGTTTGGCACAAACATTTCTTCAATAACAGTTTGTGACTTAGATAACTGATATGCACTTGCTTTTCGCTGAGATTTTCTCCAATGCTCTGTTCCTCAAGTATACCAACACAGTTTACGAGGATCTACTGAACATCTATTAGGCACCATGCTGATGATGTTACGACCATACATACATTACATACATATGTACAGCACATGCATGCATTTGATGTATGTGATATACTATGATTGTGCTGTGGGAAAAAAATGTTCATTTTGTAGTTCTCCTGAATCAACAGGTAAATTTGGCACAGCACAATCGTTTTCACTAACTGTGATGATGTGTTAGGCAAACTCTTTTGTAGGGTATGAAGAAAATCTTCCCGGTGCTAAAATATTTTACAAGTCTGTCAGCAGAACTAAAGAAAACAAAAGATGAGATTTTTCTCTTGAAGTGTATAATCCTTTAAGTCACTGAAAAATTCCACTGCACAGCATAATAACATGGGCTACTTCTACAGAACTTTGTTTTGTTTTGCTTTATCTTTCCTAGAATGATTACAAAAAACTGTCAATGCAGTGCAAAGACTTTGTTGTTGGACTTCTTGATCTGTGCAGAAATACTGAAGAAGTTGAGGCCATTTTGAATGGGAATGTCGAAATGCTCCATAGTGGTGATCATGGTCGTCCAAATCTCAGCCGCTTAAAACTCGCCATTAAATATGAAGTAAAAAAGGTAAGATCAGGCCATGAAGCCCACTTACATTATTTCAGTTCTAATAGGTACTAAAAAAGGATAAATGGTTGGCATTGTTATATTGGGCTAGGTTTTTCTAATAGTTTCACTAGGCAGATTCTTTAATGAATCATAAACATCTAGTTGTGAGATTCAATCTACACTGAACACCAGTCTTTAAAATTTAGACTTATTTATACAGAACACTGCAGTGGTTGCCAGAACCCTTACTTAAGGATATAACAACCAACGGCTTCATGCATTCAAGTTGTAAGGCATTTGTTACATGATAGGAACATCGTTATCTCAGAGCATCTCCAATTTACTATTGGTTGCTATTTTCTAATTCAGGACTAATGCCTTTCATTCTTCTTTATTCCATTTAAATCCCATCCTGGAATATTTTTAGTCCTTGTGCAGTGACCTCCATCTCTTTGACTGTTTTCTTAGGTTATATAAGATACCTTTTAAAATAAGTTTTTTGAGGGCAGGTCCCTTAGCCTAATGGTTAAGGGAGCCAGAGCCCACATGGCCAACTGCAGTTCGAATCCCAGCCCTGGTAGCTTGAAAAACATACTGGGTGCATGTGTGAGAGTGTTCCAACAGGATGGGGAAGAAATGGAGAAGGGGTTTTGGAGCGACCATACTCCTTTTTTTTTTTTTTTCTTTAATTTTTTTATTATCATCATCATAATCTTCTTTATATTACATTGGATTACATATAACTTTACAGTGTATTACATTGTTTTTTCAAGGGAATGCCATGCATGTCAGTCAGTACAGAGACATTAATCTCCCCACTTCAACATTCAATATCTTTTCTATGTTTTCCCCAAACATTATTTTTATTATTCTAATTATTTTTTAAAACAGTCAATTGCTATTTCTCATTTTGCTTGTAAAAATACTTTGCCCATCATGAAATACTTCTCAGACCAATCCAGTTGAGAATACTATACATGTCATCATCAACAGTTAATAAGCCCTATCTGTTTCTCACTTACGTCCTGCCCCTCTATTGTTCACTTGCTATCTTTCTCTATCCTCTTCTCTTCACTTACCCCATTCCACACGGACCATACTCCTTTAGAAAGTGCTTTCCCCCTTTTCTCTGTGCATGTGTTTTCTCACAATTAAAAAAGGAAGGTTTTATAATACAAATAATGCACACTTATGGTAAGTTTCAAACAGTATAGTCTTGCCCACTAAAGTTTTCAATTCTTATTGGGGAATAATTAACCTGTTATGTTTTGCTCCATAAATTTATGTCTTGGTCATTTTTATATATCATTCAATAAACATTCACTTCCCTTTTCAAGCACTGCATTATTATATCATAATATTTATTTAATCAATTTACTATATAAGGATGTTTCTGATTTAGATTTTTGTTATTGTAAGATTTTTTTCACATGCCTTTTGTACACTAAATATACTTTTTCACTCATTGCATAAGTTTTACTTATAGACGGAATTCTGAGATGTGAAATTAATATGTTAAACGTTTTTTTTTTTTTTTACTGGGGGTTCTTGCATTCCCCAGAGAGACAGAGAGAGACAGAAATCAAGAAATCACTCCCCGGTGGGATGGCCATGCAGCAGTCCCTTCTCCAGTCTCCTCTTGGGATTTTGGGCATGCAGGCATATTCACCCGACATGAGTTTTAAGCCACTGGGTCTGGGACTCCAACCACAGTCAACTGCATGGGAGTCCAGTGATGTAACCATTACATCATCTGCTGGTCCCTAAATTTTTATTTTTAAGTTTCAAACATTTGTTAAGTTTCCCTTTAAAAAATGTGGAGCACCTTACATACACAACAGTGATAGAGAGGGCTTGCTTTTTCTACCCACAGTGGATATTACTAAACGTTGCTACTCTAAGTAGATAAATGTCATGATCTCATTTTAATTATCTCTGTGGTTCATTATCTTTAAAATGCAATTCTGGTTCCTTTATATAACTCTGTAAACCACCAATATTTTATTTTGGATTGTTACTTGAGGCACAGTAAATAACTTATCTTCTGTCATACTTTCTGGTTCATTTGTAAAAAATAAATATATGAGAATTAAAAAATCAGTAAAAAAGTGCAATTTAAAGTTTTCTTACTTGAAAGAGTCTTTGACACAATAATTAAAGTAGTTATCAGTGGAGCAGAATAGGCAGCCCAGAAACAGATCCATATATAAATGTGATTTCAGTATAAACTAAGCATGACATTTTAGGTCAATGCAGGAAAGGCAATATATAAATACATTTTTGTGTGTGTGTGTGTGTCTCATGAGAGAGTAGATAAAGTATTTTCTGACAGAGTCTTGCCATGTTGCAATCTTCCAGCCTCAGTCTCCCAGTTAGTTATGATTGCAGGCATGCACAACCATGCTGGTGTGTTGAGGTTGAACCAGGGACCAAACCAGGGCTCCCATGCAGCTTCCAGCCTCCCAAGGATTGATGCTATCTGAGAGCAACTGCAGCTAAGCCTATGACATTTTATTTTTATTATTTTTTTGAGAGTTTTAATTTTTTTTCCTCTTGCCTTATGGCATGCGTGGTCACTGGAGAGAGAGTAAGACAGAGACAGTGGAGGAAAAGAGAAATCACCCCGTAGGGAGGATGGCCATGCTACAATTCCTACCTGTCTATTCTCCTTCCAGAATCTTGGGCACACATGCACATGTAGCTGGCATGATTTTGAAGCCACCAGGTCCAGGACTTGAACCATGGTCAGCCATGTGGGAGTCCAGCAATGTAACTGCTATGGTATCTGCTGGATCCATGATATATATATATACTTAAAAAATATTTAGACATCTTGGTTAGTTTGAGCTTTACCCCCTCCTTCTAGATGTTAAAAAGGATCATGAGAGAGTCTTCGATGAATCTTTTTACAATAACTTCTCTTTACAATTGTCAGAGGACATGTATGCATACCAGAAACAGACAGAGGGATAGAGGATGGGAGAAAGCACCCTTCCATGGAGCATAGTCATGCCAAAGTCCCTTCTCAATTTCTCTATCCTATTTAAATTTGGGGCATGCATATACAAGTGCTTGGCAGTTTTTCAAGGAAGGGGTTTGAACTGTGGTTGGCTATGTAGGATCTAACTTCCTCAACCACTAGACAAAGAGACCATTCCTATAATATTACATCTAAAATTTTTTCTGTGAAAAGCCCATTAGCCATGAAGGAAACATTTAATAAATTGAAAACTTTGAATTTTATAACAAATTCTAATGATCCTCTTGCTATCTTATCTTGCATTATACCCATCAGATGCTTTAGGTTTATTCTTTAATTCTATCAATATTTTTTGGTGAAAAAACAGGGAACTAAGTACTAAAACACATAAAAATAGTTTATGCGGAACCTTTCTTTAATCAAGCTATTAAATGTTTGTCACTTCCCTGCTAGTTTGTAGCGCATCCAAACTGCCAACAGCAGCTCCTCTCCATATGGTATGAAAATCTTTCCGGTTTACGGCAGCAGACGATGGTGGTCAAGTTTCTCGTAGTCCTTGCTGTTGCTATCGGACTCCCCTTCCTGGCTCTCATTTACTGGTTCGCTCCATGCAGCAAGGTATGTGTGTGAAGCTTAGATCTCTATTACCTGTTGGGAGTAGATCTTAAGTGGGGAAAAGCTATACTTCCAAAATGAAAATTTCAAGGAAAACTTTCTAAACTCTAATAAATCTTTAAGAGTTTAAATAATCTCTATATTGTTTTTAATATTACAAAAATAATACATATTTTCTACAGAAAACACAGGGGGAAAATGGAAAGAAGAGAGTATTCACCTGTAATACCATTCCTATTGACATGTGAAAGAAAGTCTCAGTTAACGACGTGAGATTATTTTCTTCAGTCTCTAGACATTTCTATGCATTTACTTTTATTGAATTTTATTAAAGTCATAGTTATCATTGAACAGATTACTGACCTCATGTAAATAAAATATAAATGAAGAACATAAAGTGAAAACAGTAAGATTTAGTGATATTTATAACACAGATTTTCTTCCAGAAAGTTGTATATTTTCATTTCTTCTCTTTTTCATAGAAATGAAAGATTTTACTTTGAAAAAAATTTTCTAAATTGTTCTCACCAGAACATAAGCTACATCTGTGTATGTAGTCTTTTTGTTCAGCTTTTACCCTCATTTCCTGAGTCTTCAGCAATTTAAGCTGAATTAAATGAGTTTCTAAATCTCCCCGTAATCACTCTGGGATCAGTTAAATTATAATCTATTTTCTAAACTGAATAGTTTTCCTTTCCTATAACCAGTGAATTCAAAAGCATAATGCCTTCCAGAATGTCTGGTACTTTGACAAAGACTATTTTTGGCACTCTTTAGCTACACACTTTAAAAATTTTGAGGGCCCAGCATGTGGCATAATGGTTACGATGCTGGACCATGTAGTCAACTGCGGTTTGAGTTTGGGACCCGGGGGGCTTAACTCAACTCTCAAGCTGGATGCCTGTGCAACTGTGCCCAAGATCATGAGAGGAGAATGGGGAAGGGATTGCAGCATGGCCATTCTCCCTGGGGGCTGATTTCTCACTTTCTGTCTCTTTGTCTCTCTGGAGAGTACCCGCCCTATAGCAAAATCTCTCTTAAAACAAAAAAATTGATTGAATACAAATTAACCTGGTTTCCTTCAGTATTTCTTCTTTCCTGACCATATTTCTTTCTGGGGTAGGTTTTCCATCCTTGTTTGTGAATACTGAAGCAAATAATCAAATTTTTAAAAATGTTGTCAGGGTATTTTTTCCCCATATTGAAAATCATTTGTTCTATCATTTATTCCTGACACAGGATCATAAAATCTATTTTATAATATTTCCTTTAAGCCATGAACATAAACATTATTTACAGGTCACAGAATTCATTTTTTTATGAGGGGAGAATGCTTTAGCTAAATCGATGCTTTTATTTAAAATATATTCAAAATGTTTAAAATTTTCCAATACATTCATAAAAATTAATTTAAATAGATCAAAGTATGGGTCTATGCACCTTGCAGAGCCCCTAGCTCTGTTTAGTCCTCTGTGCTCCAGTTTTCTCTCTTCTTTCAAAAAAATTTTTTTTGGGGGGGACTATGAGACATAAAGAGGGTGAGGATGAGAGAGGGAGGGGGAAAGAGAGAGAGAGAGAGAGAGACAGAGAAAGAGAGAGAGAGAGAAATTACCCTCCTCAGGTGATGGCCATGATGCAATCTCCTTTTCTCCAGTTTCCTATATGGATTTTGGGCATGCATGCATCCTCACCTGGCATCATTTTCTAGGGGCTAGATCCCAGCGCCTCAACCTCCATGCCACTTGCTAGTTCGTTCCTTCCTCCCTCCCTCCCTTCCTTCCTTCCTTCCTTCCTTCCTTCCTTCCTTCCTTCCTTCCTTCCTTCCTTCCTTCCTCCTTCCTCCCTCTCTCCTTCCTTCTCTTCTTCTCTCCCTCCCCTCCTCTCTCCTCCCTTTTTCCCTCCCTTACTTTTTCTTTTATGAGAGAGAGGGAGGGACAGAGAAAGATAAAGAGAAAGAAAGACAGGTATTTTTGATAAGCTCTAGCCATGTTGCTATCCAACCACCCTTTTTCCTCCTCCAAGAAATGGGAAAGACAGATTGAGTGATAGAGAGATAGATATTTTTGGCAGAATCTTTCACGTTGTGATCCTTTCACCCAGCTTACCAGTTAGCTAGGATTACAGGTACATGCCACTGTGACTGGCTTGTTTAGGTTGGTCCACAACTGAATCTGGGCTTTTTCCAAGCCTTATGAATTGGTGCCTTGCAGCTTGTACCCTATGCCTGGGCCCAGAAACTCCTTATATCCTTACTTGCTTTCTTTCTTCTACTATAACCCAAATAGCAATTGTTTTATATTCATTATAATAAAAATAGGTCAATGATTTCAAATCATTTTAGTTCAATCTAGCTTCAGAGTTTTTCTTTACAATGTTGTGTTGGGTGACTAGATAATTGGTCATTAATGAATACCTAAAAAGAGTATAATATATAATGTTTAAAGGTAAGTATTCCTTTAAAATGCTTATCCCTGATAATAACCAGCTACATCAACTTATTGTTGCTCAATTTATTCAACTAAGTCTCTTCTTTTATAATTATTTTTAAAGAAATTTATGTTCCAGAATATATGCATGTGTGTGTGTATTTATTTATATTGCTATTGATATATATGTATATACTCACATACACATGTGGCAAATTTTACTAAACTGGACAAATAACTTCAATTCCTAAAGTCCATTGATAGTTGCCAAATCTCCCTTAGTTAAAAGAAATACAACTTTCAATCATTGATAATATGAAGTAAAGGATAAGGAGATTCAAATATATACCTCCAGTTCCTTGCTAAACAACTTTTTGTTTCCCTGTTTGCTTACTTAAAAAAAAAAAAACCTAAAAATTTTAAATTATAATTTTGATTGACATATAATAGTTGTAAAGTATGATTTTTCCTTACATGAATACAATATATAATGACTAAAACAGGGTAATAAACATACAGCCACCCCAAACATTTATCATTACTTTTGTATTGTAAACATTTGAAATATTTTCTTCTCATTATTTTGAAATGTAAATTGAACTGTCACAAACTGTAGTTCTTCTACTGTAGTATAGTACTCCAGAACTCATTATACTTATCTACTTGTACTTTTATATTTGTGTCCTCCCTAACCTCCTTTCCTCACTCTGGTATCACTGTTTCATTCTCTACTTCTACGAGATCAAATCTTTTAGCTTCCACTAATGAGAGAGATCATATGGTATTTGTCTTTCATTGCCTGGCTTATTTTACTTAGCATACTTTTATCCAGGCTCATCCATGTTGCTTAAGATGATGGGATTTCACCCCTTTTTTGTATGTGTGGCTGAATAATATTCCGTTGTGCATACATAACACATTTTTTTTTATCCATTAAGCAGTTGATGATACTTAGGTTGTTATATATCTTGGCCATTGTGAATAGTGCTACAGTAAACATGGGAATGCAAATATCTCTTTGATTAACTGGCTTCTTCTCTTTTGAATACATACCCACTAGTGGGGTTACTAGATCATAAGGTAGTTCTATTTTTAGTTTTTTTGAGGAACCAGCATCTGTTTTTCATAATGTCTGTACTAATTTACATTCCCACCAACAGCATATAAGAGCTCCCCTTTCTCCACATCCTTATCAGCATTTGTTATTTTTTGTGTGTATGTGTGATAGTAGCCATTCTAACTGGGATGAAATGATTGTGGCTTTTGTGGTTGATTTGTGTTTTCCTGATAATTAGTGATATTAACAACTTTTCAGTCTTCTTTGGAGAATTGTCTGCTCAGATTCATGGTCCACTTTTAAATCAGATTATTTCATTTACTTGCTGGTAGACTGAGTTACTTGAACATTCTGATAACTAATCCTTTTTGAGACATGTAGCTTGCGAATATTTTCTCCCATTTTGTAGGTTGTCCCTTCACTTTGTTGATTGTTTTATTACAGTAAAGAAGCTTTTAGTTTGATGTAATTCAATTTGTCTAATTTTGCTTTTGTTATCCATTATTTCATGGTCTTATTTAAAAATCTTTGCCCAGACCAATGTCCTGAAGTGTTTCTCCAATATTTTATTGTAGTAGTTTCATAGTTTTTATTTAATAATCAACTAGGTATAATACTAGATGACTTATATAATATATGACTATATATAAAATATTATATATAACCTGATATTCTATCTGGCCTAAGATTAGAAATATCAAGAGAGAAGTGATTGAATTATATAATTAATTACATCTCTAACTTTTAGGACTTTGAAAACTAAATGGACATCCAGGTGCACACACCTGGTGTCTTGGGTCATCCTGGGACCTGAATTCAGGTCTCCCACACATGCATTACTCTCTCAAACAGTGGCACTACCTGTGTGCTACTGCAGGCTGGTATCAACAATTTATAAGCATATAGTTAATTTTCTGGAATTAATGGTATGTACATTATTATGTAACCATCCATCTTCAGATTTTTTTTTTTAACCTTTCCCAATTTGAACTCAGTACCTGTAGAACACTGACTTCCTATTCCCCTCTTTTCTCAGCCTTTGGAAATTATTACAGGTTGAGCTTCCCTCACTGGAAAATCTGAAATGAGTAATGTTCCAAGGCCCAAAACTTTTTGAGCACTAACATGAAGTCAAAAGTGGAAAAGTCCACACCTGACCTCATATTCCAGGTGGCAGTCAAAATGCTGCAATACCAAACGCATTGTACAAAATTATCTTTGGCTATGTGTATGAAGTGTAGGTCAGATATAGGGTAATGTTGTGTTTATACTTGGATCTCATCCTCAAGATATCTCATTATGTATGGGCAAATACTCCAAAACCAAAAAAAGCAAAGACATTATCTGAAGCATCTGGGCTTCAGGATACTCAGCCTGTATTGTTCTCTCTCTTCTATGAGGTGGCCATTTTGGGAACCTCAAATAAGTGGGACAGTATGATATTAGTCCTTTCATGCCTGGTTTATTTTGCTAAAGCATAAATGACTTCAGATTCATTAAAGAAAGAAAGAAAGAATACCATATGGACAAATAAAGCTTATTGAAGCAGAGAACACTGAGTGTGTTCCTTCCATGACAACATTCTGGTTTTTTTTTGTCAGACAGATTTTTACTATAGGGTGCTTGAACTCACTGGAGTGATAGAAAGCGAGAAACTACCCCCCCCCCGGGGGGGTAACTATGCCGCAATTTCTTTTATTTATTATTTTTTTTGGAGAGGTTTTCGCTATAGGGCACGTGCGCTCGCCAGACAGACAGAGAGAGAGACATAGAGGCAGAAAGCAAGAAATCACCCCCCAGGGGGGATGGTCATGCCGCAATCCCTTCTCCTCCATTCTCCTCTTGGGATCTTGGGCATGCACGCACACGCACCCGGCGTGAGTTTTAAGCCACCGGGTCCGGGATGCAAACCGCGGTCGACTACGTGGGAGTCCAGCGACATAGCCATTACGCTAACTGCTGGTTCCCGACTATGCTGCAATTTCTTCTCCTCCACTCTCTTCTCTAGATTTTGGGCATGCATGTACATGTAGCCAGTGTGAATTTTAAGTCACTGGGTCTGGGACTTGAACTCTGGTCGGCCATGTCAGAGTTCAGCGATGTGACCATTATGCCTCTGCTGCATTCAGCTTTCCTAAGTCTTAAAAGAAACCTTTTTTTTTTTCTTTAAGATTTTATATATACCTGCACTTTGGTGAAATAGATGAAATTGTTCTGTAAACCAAATAGAAGCATTAATTCTTGAACAAGGATCCCTAGGCTAAACTCTAGCCCTACTATTTACTGTGGGATTTTTCACAAGTTTTTTGAACTCACTTCCTCAGTTTCTGTACCCCAAATGGGCTTTTAGTTCCACCCACACCTTTGGATCATTGTCATGATTACATGAATTAGCAATGTAAAATACTTAAAACAGTACTAAGTATTGGTGATATTATTAATTTATAATTTTTTGTAATAAACTCATATAAAAAGCTATTTGAAACTCTGGGTCCTTTCCTAAGAGGAAAGGGGTCTTCACATAGATAGTTTTGTTCACACATCTGTACCCAGAACCCTGAGATACATCCTAGACCCTCCCTTTGCCCAGGTTAAGATTTGTGTATTTCAGATGGAAATGAATCTTGTACGATAGAGGTATAATAGCTTCTATTGTTCCCATATTTCACATGAAGAGTTTAATTTTTATATAATTTAGGAAATGTACTCATTGTCATTCAGCTAATGAGGAAATGAAACTAGAATCTGAACCTAAAATGTTGGATTTTAATAAACATGTTAGTCTAGGACATCATTCTGATCTACTATAGGAACTGCTCTGCTGCCCTGACCTCAGTTGGGAGTTCTTTTCTCTACATCTTTGTATCACCAAGAGAGTAACATCAGCTGAGCCCTGAGTTGCATGAAATATATATGAAGACAATGGCCAAGGATCTATACGTTGCAAATTAGATTTAGTTTAATATTTCCATTGCAGCTTCCTCAATACTTCAGACCCATTAAATTAGCTCTCTTTTTATGAATAATGCTGATATTATGTTCATCATTTTTGCCTCTTATGCTATATAATATCTTAAGAGCATAAATATACCTAACAGAAATATTAATTTAATTATTAATCAAGAATATCAGCACATGTAAGTGAAGAACATGATCAAACATGATCAATTTTTTTCTTTTTTGATTTTTTTAGATTTTTGCCATAGGGTGTGTGAACTTCCTGAGAGCAAATGTGGGAAATAAACCCCAGAGGAGGATGGCCATGCCTCAATCCCTTCTCAACTCTCTTGGGATTCTGAGCATGCATACACACACTCCTGGCATGTTTTTCAAGCCATTAGGTCCAGGACTTGAGCTATGGAATCAGCTATGTGGGATCCAGTGCCTTAAACTCCACACTACCTGCTGGCACCATGACCAACATTTTATAACAGCATAAAAGTTTCATCACTAATTTCTTTTTTCTTTTTTTTTTTCTTTTTGAGAGTTTTTTTTTGCTATAGGGCACATGTGCTCGCCAGAAAGACAGAGAGAGACAGAGACAGAAAGTGAGAAATCATCCCCCACCCAGGGGGATGGCCACACCGCAATCCCTTCTCCTCCATTCTCCTCTTGGGATCCTGGGTGCACACGCACACACGCCCAGTGTGAGTTTAAGCCACCAGGTCCAGGACTCGAACCATGGTCGACTACATGGGAGTCCAGTGACATAGCCATTATGCCAACTGCTGATCCCAATCCCTAATTATATGAATACATATAACCATTTTAGGGGAACATTGAAATACGCAGGTGTTTATTCTGCCATATATGTGTTTGTGTGTGTGCTTGTGTGTGTGTGTGTGTGTGTGTGTGTGTGTGAAGTTGCAAAGTACACAAAACAAAATAAAGATTTTCTTTTGGTGTGTGCTATGGCAGATGGGGAAGATAATGCGTGGACCATTCATGAAGTTTGTGGCTCATGCAGCCTCTTTCACCATTTTTTTGGGACTGCTTGTCATGAATGCAGCTGACAGATTTGAAGGCACCAAACTCCTTCCTAATGAAACCAGCACAGATAATGCAAAACAGCTGTTCAGGATGAAAACATCCTGCTTCTCATGGATGGAGATGCTCATTATATCCTGGGTAATAGGTAAGGACTGATTATCTGTCATTATTTCTTTTTGCAGCATTAGCAGTTGGACTGAATGACGCTGATTCTTTCACACATCAGTTATTCAAACGCAGGCAGCATGATACAGTACACCACACTCCATGCTTTTCTTTGTGTCTTTAAAACACAGTTGCTTGGAGTTCATTATCAGTGCCACTGTCTTCTCACATCCCATGTGCTTTTTGCATTTAGAAAAAAAAAAAATCCAAGAAGAAAACCAACAGGATAGTATTAATGAAACCACTAGTGATGAAATGTTGTCATTCATAATTTGGGAGAGCTGCAATTTTAAGCTTAAAAACAATCACATGATTTATTTTATGTTGACATTTAATAGGCACTGAAGCTAACAGCCACTCATGTTTAATGAACATATATTACATACCAGAAATTGTTCAAAGCATTTTTATGTGTCAAGTCATGTAGTCTCTTTGTGCCTCAGTTTTAAATCTGTAACATGTAATGACATCTGTCATATTGGATTTATGTAAGGATTACATAACCTGCTTTAGATCTCTCAGGTATAAATTGAAGAAAAGAAATTAAGTCTTAATTACTTTAGTGTTTGTCTTTAGAATTAATTAGACATGTGGCTTGTCAGTGAATATAATGCAAATGGGAATAGTATTTGAATGGGGTATTTCCTAATAAATAAATTCAACAGCTATTAAGAGCCTTTGTCAGGTAATGAGGATACAAAGTGAAGGAGACACAATCCTTATACCCAGGGCAGTAAGTCTGGATGGGGAGGTCAATAAGTAAATCAGTAATTGACAATTATGTGACAAATGCTATTGGGTTATCGGGAAAGTCATGGCACACTTTTGCATTGAAAACAGAAAAACATATCATGACTTTTCTGACAACCCAATATATCTGAGTAAGGTGGGATGTGGAAGGCACAGAAAAGTCCAACCTAGACAAAACTTTCAATCTGAGACTTTGAGATTAAGGAAACGTTAACTGACTGGTTAACTGGGAATGGAAACATGAGCTACAGAGATATGGAACTATGACAACACCTGACACAACAGAAATATGATGAGTTAGGCACTGCTGGAGCTTAGGTACCTTTGTGGATGTGGGTGATGGGAGATAAGGGTGGTGAAATGGCTAGAGGATGCTTTACAATGGTTGGTAATGTGAACAGATCACATTTCAGAAAGGTAACAGTGATTGTGAGGTAGAGATTGGCTTATAGGAGGGGTACATCCAAAGACTGAGATACAACTGAAGCAGTCCCTATGAGCAGGATGAGGGCTGGAACTCAGGGTATGGGGGAGTGGGAGAAAGGATTTGAGAGCTAATTAAAAGTATTAGAAATTGTAATGGACACTAGAGACAAAGTGGAAAGAGAGTGTGAGGGGGAAGAGTATAGGAAATTTGGGGAGAAAATGGAGAGGTAAGACACTTGTGGGACAGATAAGATCTATTATCTGTTAACAAGGATGTGTATAGTGGTCTCAACTGGGCTGGACTGAAGTGTATATCATACTGAGTAAAGTCTCTTCACAATCTAAATGATGTATAGTGATTTAATTTATGAATAATAATAAAAATATGTAAATAAAATTAAATAAAAAAGAGATAAATCTCAAAGAACTTGGTAATTATTGAATATTAGAAGGGAGAGCTGTAGATTCTTCCTTGAATTGGTGGATGGTGACCATAATTCTTTAAGAGGGAGAATATAGAAGGAAGATCGTATTTAGATCTTGGGGAGCAAAAAGCTGACAAGTTGGGTTTGTGAATGACTTCCCAGTGCCCATGGAACTTCCACATGGACATGTCCACTAAGTTATAGAAAGCATGATGTCTGGGCTGTGGATAAATTTCCAGTGATTCTCAATTCCTAAAGGGTACTTAATACTCTGACTATGCATGAAATTATCTAGGATAGCCACGTGTAGATTTAAAGAGAAGAGAGCTCAAGGAATCTTCATATAAAACCTCTAATGGCAGGAGGTGTAGTGGTAAAGGCACTGGACTCCCACATGGTGGACTGGAGTTCAGGTCCTAGACCCAGTGGCCTAAAAATCATGTTGGGTGCATGTGCAAGCATGCCCAAAGTCTTAGGAGGAGAATGAAGGAGAAAGGATATGGCATGGCTATGCCCCATGAGAGGGTGATTTCTCACTTCTCTTTCTCTCATGCACTCTTTCTCTTGTGCTTTTGCACCTTGTGGCAAAAATTAAAAAAAAAACAACAACACCACCTTTAAAAGAATATAAACTTGTATTATTTCACCCCCACTCCGATTCCATCTCCCTTCTTAGTGACTTGGAAAAGTATCTGCAGTCAGTGTTACATCAATCTAGGGCAGGGCATGTCTTCTTGTTTTTTTTTTTTTTTTTTTTTTTTTTTTACACTAGAGCCCACTGGGGTGATCAATCAAAATACTATGAAGCAGTATGCAAATTACCATTACCATACTAATACATGTGAGGTAAATTGATAGCCAATAAGTTATTCTAAACTGCTGAATCACTTTATGTGCTATTTGTATTTCAAGGAAAAACATGGTTTAAAATGTGAATTGTATCACCAGTGACAGTAAACCTTGGATGAAGAGGAGGACTTTAGTGTTACATTATTTCTTTCCTAATTTAAGTACTGAAACTGTAACAAATCTACCTCTAACATCTGATTTAAAATAAGAACAAACATTCATTGGGACAGTGGCTTTACGTTACTAGATGAAGAGCCTAAGTACTACAGTTTTGCTTTTAATGTATTAATATATGTCAAGTATATAATACTGTGTGTGGCACATGGAAAATGTTCAGTACATTTCAGATAACTAAATTATTATTAAACTTTTCATTGAGTTTATATGTTCCTTCTATAAAGGATTGGTATTTCCCTACTGAAGAGATAGTAGGCAAGATATGACTCTTTAGTAGAATACGATGAAACTTTGAAAAAATTAAATTGTATGTAAGAGAATTAGAGATAATGGATGTTTATTTCATTCTTCATTGTAATTTACTTTGCTCATACTAATATAATTTTTATTATAAATTTGGGGCTTTTTACTTATTCACTTAGAAAACTAAACTAAGAATATTAAATTAGCCTTTAATTTTACAAATAAAAGCATTCTTTTTGGAACTGTTGTCTCACTAATCTCTGTGTTTAATTTTGGAGATTATTTCAGTGTTTATTTGAAGAGAAAACAATAAAAAATATCAGCATAGACAGCTAATGCTTGTATAGCTTATGTTAGACTCCTGGTTTAGTTTCTGACACTGGTATTTATTTTCCTTTTTTTTTTCACCCCTCTCTCTCCTCACTATTTTCTTTTTTGAAGTTATTCTTGAAGTAATATCACTGTACCTTCTGAAAATATTAACAAGAAATGGCCTCCTCGGGTCGAATGTTATATTTGCTTGAGGGAAAAGACTTACATTACTGATCACAGACTGCAAATTTATCACATATTTAGCTGACAAAAAGTAGGAAGGCTGAGTGACAGAAATGGTATTTCAGGTGATCTTGACAAGGTAGAATGGTAAGCTCAAACCAGTGAGACCAGGGGTAGCAAGAACACAGGGGTAGGAGGGTGACATGCTTGATGACACCTCATGTGAAAGGTCCCAAAGAGCCCTTGTGTTTTAATGGCCAGTATGAGCTTCTGAGAAAACAAAAGCAATCCTGGAATAGCTGCTTGAGTTCCTTGTGAATTCTGGTCCTATTAAAAGATAGGAGAATGAGTTGAAAAAGCCACTCTCTAAAGGTGACATAAGAATAGCTAAAAGGCATATGAAAAAAATGCTCAACATCCCTCATTGTAAGTGAAATGCAGATCAAAACACCAATGAGATACCACCTAACCCCAGTCAGAATGACTAAGATTTTAAAAAACAAAAAAATGATAAGTGCTGGTGGGGGTGTGGTGAAAGGGGAACTCTTACACTACTGGTGGGATGTAAATTGGTCCAGCCACTGTGGAGAACAATTTGGAGATTCCTCAAAAATCTACAAATAGAACTACCATATGATCCAGCAATTCCACTCCTTGGTATCTACCCAAAGGACAGAAGAAAACTTAATCAGAAAAGTGCTTGCACATCGATGTTTATTGTGGCACTATTCACAATTGCTAAGTCATGCAACCAACTGAAATGCCCACAAAGAGATGAATGGATAGAAAAACTGTGGCACATATACTCTATGGAATACTGTTCAGCCATAAAACAAAACAAAACAACACAAAACAAAAAAAAACCCTGCTTTTGATAGAAAGTAGAAAAATGTGGAAGATTTACTGCTGAGTGAAGCAAGCCAGGCTATGAAGAAGAGACATTGTATGTCCCCACTTAATATATACTGAGTGTCCACACTCTATGACTGAAACTGATTGACTTAAGGATATAGAATCACAGTATATGATTGTAAATGCCAGATACAGTGTGTGTGAAAGAGTAGGGTCTGAGGAAGGACATTTAGAAGAAAAATAGGGAGACAAAGCATTAATAGAACAAAAAATGTGGTATTATCTGTTGAATATATTTTATAGTTTTATCAACTGGACTAGGGAGAAATGTTCACCTGTTAGAATGTTCACCTTGTAAGCTAAATAATGTGATTAAATGTATAAAATAAAATAAAATAAAAAATGAAAAAAAAAAAGCAACCCTGGGTTGACTCTTAACATCAGGAGAGGACTGTAATCAAGGGCTATCATTACCCCAATGGCCAGATCACATCTGCATGATTGTGGGTGGCTCTCAGTGCCACATGTAGCCAACTGGCAAACTAGGGACCATCTAAGCACTGCATCCCTTTTGGAGTGAATGGCTCCTCTGTGAGCCCTTCAGGGGGTTGGAGAAGCACCTCAGAGGTTAAGGAGTTGGGTGAGATCTAAATATTGTAGAACCTGAGGCTTATTTATTTATTTAGAGAGAAAAGACAAAACAGGGACCCAGATGCAACCCTGGGCGAGTAAGGCATTTTGAAGCTTGAACTCTCTAAGTTTCATTATATACTTGTCTCTTCTGTAGAAGAATAGAGTTAATAAATACCAAAGTGGGTTTTGTTTTTGTTTTAAAGAAATTTAAAGGCAGAGGGAACTGCCTTTTAATTTTCTCCTGCTCTTGAGGGCAGAAATAGAACCAATGTATGTATCCACATTGAAGGAATATTCCTAAGGATTCAACAATGGAGTGAGCAGCACCTCACCTCCACAATGGAGTAAGCAACTCCACAATGGAGTAAGCACCTCACCTCCACAAATGTATCTAAGCAGAGTCTAGGTCTCTGTGGAGAAGTTCTCCACCTGGGTGAGGGCTTTGATTATATGAGGGATTTTAAATCATCGATACCCAGGTCCTGGGTATCCTTAGGAACTATAAGAGGAGTAACTGTTTCTTCAAGCAAAATATAGCTTACTGTATTTATTTTAGTTTTTAAGTTTTTGCAACACATTATTTGTACCCAAAATTCTACCTCTTAAAGAGAGAGTAAGGGAAGATGGAGGAAAATGGGAGGAAGCTGAGGAGAAGCTGTGAAAACAACCAGACTTGGGACCAGCAGATGGTGTAATGGTAACGTTGGACTCTCACGTAGTGGACTCCAATGTGGTTGATTGCATTTAGGGTCCTGGACCTGGCGGCCTAAAACTCACGCTGAGCGTGTGTGTGTGCATGCCCAAAATCCTGAGAAGAGAATGGAGGAGTTGTAATGTGGCCATCCCCGTGAGGGGTAATTTCTCTCTTTTTGTTTCTCTGTCTCTTTTTGTCTCTTTGGCAATCACATGTGCCCTATAGCATAAATCCCTCTCTAAATCAAAACAAAACAAACAAAAATCCCAACCAGACTGTGTGAGTTCGGCTGTCCTTTAGGCCCTGTACCTGTTGCTCTGAATTATTCTCATCTCATGTGACGCTGTCAGGAGCCTAGGGATCATGAAAGCAAAGCTATCATAAAAAAAATTCCTGCTCATAGTTTCAATGTGTATGTGTGTGCACACATGTAGTATTATAAATTTGATTCACTAGCACATGTGTAAATTCAATCTTGACATATGTCAAAACAAGTAATGAAGTTGTCTTCTTTTAATGTCCTCTGCATTGAGAGCTAGTTTTGAGAAAAACACAGGGTACACTCTGGGAGAGGAGAGACCAAGGAGTTTTAATCCCTACAAGACTCCGTAGCCATTCATATGGCAGGTTCTGTGGCAGACAAATGTCAGGACTAAGGGTGTAAAAATTTGCAGAAAGTGGTTGCTGAGGGTAAGGAGAGAAGACCAATTTCCAGTAGGGGCTATGAAAAACATCATCATGGAGGTAGGTTTGATCAGTTCTTGGAGTTTGGATTGTATTTCTCCAGATGCCTCTAGGAAAAGGCAGGATTTCAGAGAGTAGGGTATTTTAAAGACAATGGGATTAAGTAGCTTTATTATTACTATTATTATTATTATTAAAATAAGATTCTTAAAATTAAGAAACAATATATGTGCCAGCCATGGAAAATTTTAAATAGTGAGTGTTCAGTAGATGTTTGTCATGTTTTTCTAAGTGCCAGATACTGTGCTGTGTGTTTTACATGCATTATTTTATTTAAGTGTCATAACAATCCTATGAAGTAGGTACAAACTACTACCACCCCCATTTTACAAACTGAATTTTAGAGCGTTTAAATAACTGCCAAAGACTCCATGGTTAACAAGTAGAGGAATAAAACTCTTATTCATGGTGGTCTGATCTCAAAACCAATGCTTCTAAATATTACACTAATTTTTTAAAAAATGCAGTATTACTAATAATTCTACCATAAAGAACTACCATTAATTTGGTCCTGTCATTCATTCTAGTTTTTCACAATGCTTGTTTTAAAAGTGAAGGCATAGAATACATAACATTTTTAACTGTTTCATTTAACATTATTACATACAGATTATTCTGATGTGTGTTAGTCCAGGTCCTCTATGAAACAGGTGCAAAGATTAAATGTATAACAGTTTTACTAAAGAAAATAGAAACTTAATTAAGGGAAATTTCTTGAGAGAGAGAGTTAGAGAAGGTTACAAGGACTTTCAGACTGGGATGTAAGTCAAACCTCAAGGGAAAAAGATAGGGAAGAAAAGTTGGGTAGAAGCATCCTAGGTCTGCATGTATTTTAAGGAAAGTTTGGCAGGGCTATTGGGAGATTCTTGACCCAAAGTCAGCCATCAGAGGAGTCCCAGGTCATCCCAAAAGAGATGCCCTCAGACATTGGTAGAAATCACAATAGAAAGCATGGCTTTGGCAAAAGTGGCAATAGTTTCTAGAAGGCAGTAGCTGAGGCCATTGTTAATTCTTTCTGTGGTTAAGGTCAGTGAGACACATTCTCATGACTATTTCCTCATTAAAATGAATAAAATAGCATATGTAAAGGTTGCATAATACTCCATCTGTGGAAGTCCATGACTATTTCCATTTTGATGGTGTGAATGTGTTTTGGTTAGTATAAAGTATCCTACAATTAGCATCTTTTAATATATTTATTTTTATGTGCAGAATAGATGAGTCAATAGAATTTTGTTGCTGTTGTTTTACGTTCTTTGTAAACTTTACAAAATTGCTTTTTGGTAATGAATATACATTGCTGGACTATGGGATTTAGGAGGATGGGGGAATTATGGCAGGACGGTCAGGTTGGGGCCAAATTTTGAAGCATTTTGAATGTCAGATGGAAACCTTCCAAATTAATTTTGTTTCACTGAAGAGTTAAGGATGCAATGAAATTGAGTTGACATTTTTTTATTCCTTTTTGATACAGGAATGATATGGGCTGAATGTAAAGAAATTTGGGCTCAAGGCCCCAAGGAATACTTGTTTGAGTTGTGGAATATGCTTGATTTTGGTATGTTAGCAATTTTTGCAGCATCGTTCATTGCAAGATTCATGGCATTTTGGCATGCTTCCAAAGCTCAGAGCATCATTGATGCAAATGATACTTTGAAGGACTTGACCAAAGTTACATTGGGAGACAATGTGAAATACTACAATTTGGGTGAGTTTACGGTGTACAGTCAATGTAAATTAATAAAAATGCGACTCCCATTGTAAAATACATCAGCAGTACTTTGGTTTTGTTTAGTTCTCATAAAATTGTTGTTTAGTTTATAACATCTATATCTGAAGAATGAACATCTGCGTCTGAAGAAGTATGCCTACTGCTTCTTCATTTGATTTTTCTACTAGCTATAAGCCTCCTTTTTTAACATTTATTTATTTGATTTATGATAGAGAGCACATGCATGCATGAGAGGGAGGGAGAGAGAGAGAAAGATATGCACAACGGGGTCTCATTACACTGTGATCCCTTCGCCCAGTCTGCTATCTCATCAGGGTTTTAGGCACCCGTGCATGCCTGGTGCAGTCCAAGTTAACTGGGGATCCAAACAAGAGTCTCCATTGAGAATTGCCTATCATATTCTTAGAGTTACCTTTTTCCTCTTGTCTATTAAAAATAGGTTACATTTGAGTCATATTTTTTGATCAAAAACATATATAATAGAATACTGTCCAGTCTTACAAAAGAAGGAAATTCTGTCATTTCTAACAATACGGATTAACTTGGAGAATATTATGCAAAATGAAGTAACCCAGGCAAAGAAAGACAAATAGTGCACAATTTCACTTGTATGTGGAATCTTAAAAAAAAGGTCATACTCATAGATGTAGAGAGTCAGTGGGTGAAACATAGGGAGACAAGTGGGGAGAGGTTGGTCAAGGGTACAAAGTTTCAATTAAGTGGGAAGAATAAGTTCTGCAGCTCTATTGTAGAGCATAGTGACTATAGTTAATAATGTACCGATTGCACAATAGGGTCTCATCACACTGTGATCCCTTCGCCCAGTCTGCTAGCTCATCAGGGTTTTAGGCACCCATGCATGCCTGGTGAAGTCCAGGTTAACTGGGGATCCAAACCAGAATTGAAATTACTAAGAGAGTAGATTTTAAGTGCACCAAATTAAAAATATGCATATGTATGTATGTAAAGGGATGGATATATTAATTAGCTAGATTAAATCATTGCCCGATGTATACACATATCAAAACATCACATTCAATCCTGTAAATATATATAATAAAAAGTTACTATATATAACTTTTGGGCAAGCCTGTGGCCTGGTGGTTAAGGTGACTGGGTCCGACATGGCTTATCTCGTGGTTGGAGTCCTGGACCTGGTGGCTTTAGAAACATGCTAGGCATTTGTATAAGCATGCCCAAAATCCCCAAAGGAGGGAGAAATAGAAAAGAAGTGATTATAGTGTAAATGTTCCCCATGGGAGGAGGAAGGCTTTCTCCCCCACTACACCGGTTTTTACTCCAGTGAACACCTATGCCTTTTGGCAAAATTAAAAAACTAAATAAAAGTTTACATTCGAGTACCATTTTAACATCACATTTGAGACATGTAAACTATTTTAAAAGCAAAAGAATTGAGGTCTCTGAGAAAGCCCCCAATAAATAACACCATCATTTCTCAAACAGGCTTTTAACTAGTGAAGAAATGAAACAAAAAGTTAATAGGGTGGCCATCTCATCACTTCTAATACTGATAAAATCCAGGGTGGATGACGTAGGATTGAGTGTATTAGCCAATACAATTGGTAATATTGAAATCCTAGAATCAGATAGATGCATTCTCAAATTTCCAGGTAGCAATGGACCAGGGCAGTCCTCTCCACAAAGGGGAGATAGGAGCAAGTGTTTGATCATGTGAGGGTCCTCCACAGAGGAGCAGAGATTTCCCAAGAGAAAGGGGGTGATGCTGAGCCAAGTCTGCTGAGTTACCTCAATTTAGTAATCAGATAAGTCATTCCAGTTCCCCAGGAGGAAAGGATAAGAGTTGCAAATAGATGAATAATTGCTTAAGGAAAATTTGACCTCATAGAAACCTGGATTCAGAAAACATATTTCCTTTGAATACTTTTTTAAGCCCTTTGATAAGAAATTAGCATTCAGTTGGATCTCTACAGATGTATTGGCTATATCACATTTTCTTAATAATTTTTATTATTTATTGTTTAATTTAGCTATTTTAAGAATATACAGAATTGTTACAAGTCAAAGCTATCTATTTATAGATAATAATTATATTCAGGGTACCATTAAAAAGGGAACTGTTTCTATTAATTTCTTGTTAGTCTTAATTCCTCTTCTCAGCAAATAAGAAATACAAATTTATAATCACATTTTTTCTTTTTCAGTGTTATGCATTTTTCTTCATAATGGTTTCCTAATTGAGTTTTTGATGACCTGATATAATAATGCTAGAACAATTCATGAGTGAATAATTGCTACATTTTTATGGTAAAAATAGACTTGTTTGAGTGACCAATAAAATTACTTCTAGTGCGTTTAAGTAATGACAAGTATTCTACAAAGCTGAAATTACATTATAGGGTAATTAAGATTAAGATTAAATTAACTACTATTTATTTAGTGCCAGAAACTTTCTAAACACTGAACATACATTGACTTATTGACTCTTCACAGCAGATTAGAAGAAGTATTACCACATTTTTTTAAATGGGGAAATAAAACTAGGACAAATAATTTGCACAAGTTCTTTCAATTGATAAATTATATACATAGAGAGAGACCCGAATGGGAAATTGCTAGCTAGTAAAGTACACATCAAGAGGGTTGTCTTCTCAATAAATTCAGAAGTTCAAATACAGCTGACACCTTAGAAACCTTTTAAAATCAGAGACTTCTACTCAGGAACTGGGTTGCTATGTAATTATATGTCTTTCTCAGAAAAGAAATTACCTAAAACAAACAAAATTACCTAAAAAAAACCAAAGAAACTCACCATAACTCTTTTTTGCTTTTTTCCTAGCTAGGATAAAGTGGGACCCATCTGATCCTCAAATTATATCTGAAGGTCTCTATGCAATTGCTGTTGTTTTAAGTTTCTCCAGAATAGCTTATATTTTGCCAGCAAATGAAAGCTTTGGACCTCTGCAGATATCACTTGGAAGAACAGTAAAAGACATCTTCAAATTCATGGTCATATTCATCATGGTGTTTGTGGCCTTTATGATTGGAATGTTCAACCTCTACTCCTACTACATTGGTGCAAAACAAAATGAAGCCTTCACAACGTATGTGATCTCAGATGTGTTAATGATGGAGACTGCAGTTTACATAAATATTAGCTTATGTGATATTAGTGTTTATATATATCCATGGGAAAATAATGTTTTGGTAAAAAGTCATCTATAGTTCTTCTTCAGCAAGATGAGATTTTAAAATGAGTTAGAAGGGGGCCAGCAGGTGGCATGGAGGTTAAGGTGCTGGATTCCACATGACCAACTCAATGGTTTGAGTTCTGGATCCAGTGGCCTGAAAAACACACCAGGCTCGTGTGTGTAAGTGCCCCAAATCCTGAAAGAAAATGGAAGAGAAAGGACTGTGGTGTGGCCATCCCCCCTCATTGGGGGAGGGATGATTTCTCACTTTGGTTCTGTCTCTGCCTCTCTCTTTCAAGTGCATGTGCCCCATGGCAAAACAAACAAACTAACTAAACTAAAAAGAAAAAGAAAATGAGTTAGAAAAACTCTAAAATACAGGAACCTCCCCCATATTAAATAATAGTAGCTAATATTTTTAGAGCCAGGTATTGTAAATACCTCGGTGGATCACCTTATTATCTCCATTTCCCAAAACAAAGAAGAAAATTTTATTTGCTGAGTGTTCTGGAGCTGCTAGAATGTGGAAAAGCCAAGAAATATCCCCTTGTTTACTGATTCTAGCATCTAGTCCTCTAACCTCCTGCCCTCCTGCTTACTAGGTACTCCTGGAGCACTGATTATGAGAATAGCTGCTTTCCTATTTCAGTCTCTCAGGTACTGCCATTGAAAATAGTCAAGTTATCAATAATGACAAGAATTTATGACTTAGGATCACCATGGGCACATTGATTTTTTAATTATGTACATTAAGAATGGATTACTCAAAAGTTAGGTCTTCAGTGTTAAGAGGAGAAGCATCAACTGAAACATTACCTATTCCTTTCTAAGTATTCCTCTAAAGTGCAATTTTTCAGGGAAATAAACCACATGGGTTAAGCAGACAGGCTTAGCTTTGGTCAATAATTATGCCTAAAGCATTGAAATTCCTGCCTATGTTTATATTGTCATTTGTGTCCCCTTGAGACAAATACTATTATTTATTTATTAGATATTAATAGAAATGTAGAGAAGAAACCTAAAAATACTCTAATGAATATTATTATTTTTTTAAATACACTTTGGGTATTCTGACAGTCAAAACTATTAGTTATTTAAAGGTTAATATCTGTGGTTGTGAAGTTAAGCTATCTCCTTGTTTAGCTCTTATTATGTGCCAATTATTGAACTATGTGCTTCACATGCACAAAATCCCCTCCTTCGTGTTCATAACAACTATAAAAGAGGTGTTATTGTACCCACCTTACAAAGAGGAAAATAAAGGTTCAAAGAAGTTAAGAGTTTTCTCATAACTACCTAGCAATTTGCAAAGATGCTGAATTAACTCACTTTTAGTATGCTACTATCGTTACTTATTTATACACTTTCTTCTTTCTTTCCTTTTTCTTCAGAGTTGAGGAGAGTTTCAAGACATTGTTCTGGGCTATATTTGGACTTTCTGAAGTAAAATCTGTGGTCATCAACTACAATCACAAATTCATTGAAAACATCGGTTATGTTCTCTATGGAGTCTATAACGTTACAATGGTCATTGTCTTGCTAAATATGTTAATTGCAATGATCAACAGTTCATTCCAGGAAATTGAGGTACAATCATGATCACTATACATTTTTAGTCTGTGCCTACATGTTTTGACTATTCCAGGAACCAGTCAGCAATGGCGTCAGAGTAGGGACTGCTGTTCCACATTTGTTCTGTTTTATATGCTCATTTCAGCAATCAGTAATCTAGAATAATTTAACTCTGCTTTTGAATGCAACATCACTGTGGGGTGGGGGGGGGACAGTAAAGCCTAAGGAACAGAGATATTACTTTATTACTTAAAAAAGTTTAGAAGTACTGTATCACCATGAATTTACATTTTATTTGGAAAATATTGCTATGCATACCATTATTTTCTAAATTTTTTTGCTCAAAATTGATTCTTTTCCTAGTTAAAAGTGAGAGCATAATTTTTTATTTTAGAAATCTCAGTCTATATTCTGTATTAATGAAGGATCTATTGCAGAATAAAAGAGAATTTTCCTAGTGTTTTGTAGATTGTAGGAAAATAAATTTATATCTTTCAGTGTACTCATAAACACTGTGAGTTTTGAGATCTGTAGTTTAGTAAGTCTGATAAAATGATAGAAAGCTTGATATTTAGGGAAAAGTGTGTGAGTAGGCTATCAACATTTTGAAAAAATCTTGGAGCAGCCTTCAGTGTCTGGGAGTGTTTTTAGGCACTGTTACTTCCATGTAGTTACATAATATTAGAAGCATTCTGCCTTTCCTTGCTGAACTGTCACGTGTATTTCCATAGGATGATGCTGATGTGGAATGGAAATTTGCAAGAGCAAAACTCTGGTTTTCCTACTTTGAGGAGGGAAGAACACTTCCTGTTCCCTTCAACCTGGTGCCAAGTCCAAAGTCCCTGTTTTATCTCTTACTAAAGTTTAAAAAATGGATTTTTGAGTTGTTCCAGGGTCATAAAAAAGGTTTCCAGGAGGATGCAGAGATGAATAAGGTAACTTGGCTTCCTAATGTATAATTATCCTCTCAATGCTGGGACCACTGTAACCACTGAGACATATCCCTTAAAAAAGAAGCAGTCTAAGATGACTTGGCCATCCACTCTTGGTGCAGTCACCTACTGCAACACAGTCCTTAGGCTTGCGTTTGTTCAACATGCACACATTAGATACTTCCTCTTTAAAAGAATAGAAGACAAATTTGTGAAATGCAACTGAAATGATGTACTATGTTACCTGGAGTGGGTAGTGAAAAGGAGAGCTATTTTAGGCTCCATTTTTGCTGTTGTGGCTGCAAGCTCCTCATACCGCCATCAATTTTTAAAGCTAGGTAAAGCATCAGCAGCTGATTAAGTCTGGTGGGAACTTAGCAGACTCTTACATAACTTCTACATTGGAAACTTCAGAAAGCAATTGTTCACATGAACTATGGGAGATCAGGTTTGGCAGAAAGAAAGACCTAAGAATACCAACTGGAAAGAATAATTCCATAAGGCAATACAGTCTCAAGAAGTCACGAAAGAAGTAGAGTCCTTAGACAGGGGAAGAATGATCTCAGAATATTCCAATACGTTGTGTATAATTGGAGATGAGAGCAAGTGCTAACTCTGTACAAAGGTGTCAGCTGGGTATAGAGCGCTACACCCAGGAAGGGCACTGAGATCCTAGGTATGTTCAAATGGGGAGGACCTGGATAAGGATAGGTATGAATATAGTGTCACCAGGGGGGATTCAAATAACTAGCTGTTAATTTGCTGAAAGGAAGATTGGGAAGGGACAAGAATATCTTTAGAATTCCAATCTGTGATTAGCGAGAACACTTGTCTCCTCCCTTCAAAATTAGGAAAGAGACAATGGGCAAAAGTTACAAATATTCAGTTTTAGTTCTACATAGAAACAAACTTTTAACAATAAGCTCTGCCCAAGAGAGTGGCTGCCTTAGGAGGTAATGAGGCATCCACCACTGCAAATAACCAATAAATGCTAGATGACTGACATTAGGGATTTATAGATGTTCCTACCCTGGGTGAGCAAGTGTGCCAAATGATTATAGAGGTTACTTGCCATGCTAAGATTTTAATCATTGAAAAGGAAAACATGTTCTAAATCCTGCTCCATTTGCCACTTACCACCTGAGACTCTCAAGTAAAAAAAACTCTCTGAGTTTTAGTTTCTTCAATGGTAACATGGAGTAAAAATTGTATCTACATCATGAAGATTAAATAAAATCTGTAAAAGTACATTGAGAATTCTAGAGCCCTCTTTAAATGTAGAATTACTATGATTATTCTATGTAGGAATTTTGGGAAAATGTGTCATCTACGACTTTATTTCAGGTGTAGGACTTACAGACTCAGTGGATCAATGCAAACATTTTCCTATCTTTACTAAAGTAATTGTGAATTTTAGAGGTTTGATTAGAACTGTAACCTGAGAGAATTCAGTCTCCAAAGGAAATGTCCACACGTAAGAAGAACCCAAAAAGAATGTTTCTCTCATTAAAACTTGTTGGGAAATTAGACCAAATGGCTTCTGTAATACAGAATGAAGAGTGAAATTGGCTATAAATTGTACTCATTTCACTATCTATCTTTAAAAGAGAAATGAAGAAAAGAAATTTGGAATTTTAGGAAGTCATGACAACCTTCCAAAACTATCACTTGACAAAAAACAGGTAAGGTAATATTTGAAAATATGAAGTCATGTACATGATCAGGCTTATCTTTTCAGAGAAAGAAACAAATGTTCAAAAACAATTTTAAGAAATATCCAAGAAGTACATTAAGGAATTAATTTTAACAACTCTCAAATAATGAGTTCCTGAGAGATGGAAATAAGCCAATGTTTGATTAGCAAAAGGAATTGTGTATGTATTTAGGACATGTTTATGGTAGTCATGGGTGATGGAATATGGAAGTAGTAATGTAAAAAGGAAGAGATAAAATAAGAAAGGAATCCATGAGGGACTTGATGGCATTATGATAAACTTAACTCTGTAGCTCAGGCAGGGAGCAAGCATGACCAGCGATGCCTCCTTGTTTGTCAGCAATCAAGAAGTGGCTGAAAAGTCTCTGTGGGACTTCAATGGCTATTGTGATTGGTGTAGTCCATAATGAACAATGTGACTGAGAGAGGGATCACTTCCCTAATATGGGGAGCAAAATCCTCAGTGCTGAGGACATCTGCTTCCTTTTTTATAGCATGCACACAGTAGGGTACAATAAATGCTTGTTCCGAAAGGGAAATTATAAAATGAATGAATTAGGAAAAAAAAGGGAAAATAACAGGGAGGATTTGTATCCAACTGCACTAATAAAAATAGTCACATTGAGTTGTTTTTTCCCTTCTCATTTAACTCCTTGGATTGACTATTATCGGGGATGAGTCTCTGATTCTTCTGGACATTTTGTCACAGTCAGATGCAAAATGATAGCTTTATGTTCAACCATTACACCTGCTTTTTAGGCATAAAGAGGGAGTAAGCGCAAAGGAAAAGTGGAATTTGCTGCCACCCTCAGAAGGGCCTCCTAGCCTGCTGGCCCCAACATTAAACATGTATAATTTAGTGGTATTAAATACACTCACAATGCAGACAACAGGTTCTTTTATATTTTCTTTTAAAATTTGCCAGAAGGCATGTGTGCTTGCTAGAGAGAGACTGAGAAAGAGAGAAAGAGGGAGACAAAGAACCCCTCCCCATGGGGTAGGGCCATGCCATATTCCCTTTTCCTCTATTTCTCCCTCCTTTTGGGATTTTGGGCGCATGCTATGTTCTTGTGCCTGCCAGGTCTAGAACTCAAATCGTGCAGTCAGCTATGTGGGATCCAGCTGCCTTAAACACCACTCCACTGACTGGCCCACAGAGAATTCTTAATTGAATAATCCAGAAGGATGGCTCTTTCCCTTTCCACCTACCTTTCCTTTACGATCTACAAGATGTCTCATATAGCAAAAACTTTGATCATTTTGCAAAGAACATTTCAATTGAAAGTGCATATGTAACACATAATTGACTATATATTTTATATGTATAACGAATTCGTATGAATGTAAGAAATTCAGTGTGGTCAATATTGGTCAGTATTTTCAATTCTTTCCACTATTTTTATTTCCTTACTAAAATTTCATTTTGGAAATTGATATAGTAAAGCACTGAACCAAATATTCAGAAGACCAGGATCTCATCTGTGCCCCTTCAGCAATTATTTTAACATCTCTGAACCTCAGTTGTCTCATCTATAAAATAGAAATGATCATAACTCTTACGCAAGATTGTATAACTTATAACGGAAGATTATTGGTAGGATTAAACTGGTACTTCGTGAATTACAAAGTACTCTAAAAATTTTACAAATATAGATCAGTACAAATTGGACTATATAGTTTTCCAGTAATAAAATGCTTGTACTGAAAGGATTATGGTGATATAATAATGAATCATTGCATAAACATAAGAAAAATCCAAAGGAAACCAATATGCCTTTTTTTCTTTACATTAGAAACTATAAAAATCATTCAAATCAAATAATTTTCTTTGCATTTTCTCTAAAAATATAGAAAAGTTGAACTAGTTTTAATCATCTATAATATGTGTAACATATCTTTTAGCTGAGATTTAGATCATCATATATTATACCTTTTAATAGCATATATTTTAATAACTTAGATTAAAACAAACTCAGGGGCCAGCGGGTGTCAATAGTGGTTACGGTGCTGGACTCCCACATGGCCAACCACCATTTGAGTCTCAGACGTGGAGGCTTGAAAATCACTCTGGGCATGTGTGTGTGTGTGTGTGTGTGTGTGTGTGTGTGTGTGTGCCTAAAATCCCAGGAGGGGAATGGAGAAGGGATTGCAGTGTGGTCATCCCTTCTGGAGGGGGTTTCTCCCTTTCCCTCTCACTGTTTCTGTCTCTCTCTTATGACTATACATACTCTATGGCAAAAATCTTAAAAATAAACAAACAAAAAAACTCTAGGAGCAACACTAAGCCTAAGGTATTTGACTGTAGTTGTGGAGTTTAGAATGAAATGTTGAGTCTGATGCCATTGAAATCATCTAGACCTCTTTCTGTGTAAATGTATATTTTGGCAACCATGGAGATGTACTGTTGAGAGAAAGCCTGCTGCAAGGAGTTGTGGTCAGCTGGCAGCTCCAGCTGCAGCACCTGGAGACCCTCAGCCTTCTGACCATGGCTACGCTCTTCAGGTCCTGGATATTTTTTCTTCCAGCACGGTTCCCTCTGAGGGGTCTGTACGTTGATGCTCCCTATTAGGCTCTCTCAGACATTTTCTTATCTTCTTTTTTTCATACGCAAAGTGAGCCTCACAGTCTATAGGTTTTCTCTGCCTTCTCCTTCTCCCATGCTCCCTTACCTTGCATAGATAGGTATGATTCTGAATAAATTTCAGACTTCTAACTCTGTCTTAGCATTTGATTCCTGTCTTTCCCTTTCCACCTACCTTTCCTTTACGATCTACAAGATGTCTCATATAGCAAAAACTTTGATCATTTTGCAAAGAACATTTCAATTGAAAGTGCATATGTAACACATAATTGACTATATATTTTATATGTATAACGAATTCGTATGAATGTAAGAAATTCAGTGTGGTCAATATTGGTCAGTATTTTCAATTCTTTCCACTATTTTTATTTCCTTACTAAAATTTCATTTTGGAAATTGATATAGTAAAGCACTGAACCAAATATTCAGAAGACCAGGATCTCATCTGTGCCCCTTCAGCAATTATTTTAACATCTCTGAACCTCAGTTGTCTCATCTATAAAATAGAAATGATCATAACTCTTACGCAAGATTGTATAACTTATAACGGAAGATTATTGGTAGGATTAAACTGGTACTTCGTGAATTACAAAGTACTCTAAAAATTTTACAAATATAGATCAGTACAAATTGGACTATATAGTTTTCCAGTAATAAAATGCTTGTACTGAAAGGATTATGGTGATATAATAATGAATCATTGCATAAACATAAGAAAAATCCAAAGGAAACCAATATGCCTTTTTTTCTTTACATTAGAAACTATAAAAATCATTCAAATCAAATAATTTTCTTTGCATTTTCTCTAAAAATATAGAAAAGTTGAACTAGTTTTAATCATCTATAATATGTGTAACATATCTTTTAGCTGAGATTTAGATCATCATATATTATACCTTTTAATAGCATATATTTTAATAACTTAGATTAAAACAAACTCAGGGGCCAGCGGGTGTCAATAGTGGTTACGGTGCTGGACTCCCACATGGCCAACCACCATTTGAGTCTCAGACGTGGAGGCTTGAAAATCACTCTGGGCATGTGTGTGTGTGTGTGTGTGTGTGTGTGTGTGTGTGTGTGTGCCTAAAATCCCAGGAGGGGAATGGAGAAGGGATTGCAGTGTGGTCATCCCTTCTGGAGGGGGTTTCTCCCTTTCCCTCTCACTGTTTCTGTCTCTCTCTTATGACTATACATACTCTATGGCAAAAATCTTAAAAATAAACAAACAAAAAAACTCTAGGAGCAACACTAAGCCTAAGGTATTTGACTGTAGTTGTGGAGTTTAGAATGAAATGTTGAGTCTGATGCCATTGAAATCATCTAGACCTCTTTCTGTGTAAATGTATATTTTGGCAACCATGGAGATGTACTGTTGAGAGAAAGCCTGCTGCAAGGAGTTGTGGTCAGCTGGCAGCTCCAGCTGCAGCACCTGGAGACCCTCAGCCTTCTGACCATGGCTACGCTCTTCAGGTCCTGGATATTTTTTCTTCCAGCACGGTTCCCTCTGAGGGGTCTGTACGTTGATGCTCCCTATTAGGCTCTCTCAGACATTTTCTTATCTTCTTTTTTTCATACGCAAAGTGAGCCTCACAGTCTATAGGTTTTCTCTGCCTTCTCCTTCTCCCATGCTCCCTTACCTTGCATAGATAGGTATGATTCTGAATAAATTTCAGACTTCTAACTCTGTCTTAGCATTTGATTCCTGTAGGATCAAATCAACCCCCAAATCTATTTTCCCCATTCCCTTGAGCTTGGGGTAAACACAACTTGCACATTTCACGTAGTTTGGTTTTACTTGATCTCTTACTGTATTTTGGAGAAAATGGGTTTATTTGTTTATTTGCCAGAGGGCACATGCACTTGGCAGAAAGAAAAGCAGACAGAGGGAGAAAGATAAAGCACCCTTCATGGGGAGTGGTCATAATACAAAACCTTCTTCATCTCCCTCTTCTTTTAAGATTTTAGGCGCACATGGACATGTGCCTAGTGAGTTTTTCAAGTAACCCTGTCCAGGACTTGAACTGTGGATGGCCATGTGGGGTCTAGCTGCCTTAACTATCAGGCCATGAATCCAGAAGAAGAGAAATGTGTTTTTAAAGCAGCCATTCATATTTCAATTCATTTTTCCCCACTGTTACTGAGATGGTCTCTTACTGGAACACGTTTGGCCCTGATCCTTGCTTGGAAAGTTTCCTTTGGTTCATTCTTCCTGATCCAATTCACATTCTTGTACATAAGCCTACATCTGGGTAGCACAACTGGACCCCTTGAAGGTTAAAATATTTAGTTGGCTCTACAGATATGGCCTTATGGGCTCCAGGCATGTGAGAAATTAGCAAGAAAAGCTTTAAGAAACTGTTGTGTGAAAACCAGGTAAGCAGGCCTGT